ACACCGTTGTTCCACCACCTTATAAGGGCCCTGCCAGGCGGCCTGTAGCTTATCGTGTCGGACAGGTTTTAAGATTAACACCTTCTGCCCGACCTGAAAGCTACGGTCCGTGGCGCCCCGATCATACCATGTGCGTTGGCGTGTCTGAGCCGCCTGCAAATTCTCGCGTACCGTCTGAGTTAAGGCCTCAAGGCGGTCTCGGAATGCCAACACATAGGGTATGATGGGGGTACCGTCAGTGCTCCGCTCTCCCTCCCAATGCTCTCTGATCAAATCTAAAGGCCCTCGTACCCTGCGGCCAAACAATAGTTCAAATGGGGAGAACCCAGTGGATTCCTGCGGCACCTCCCGGTAAGCAAAGAGGAGGTGTGGCAGGAACTTCTCCCAGTCCTTGTGGGTCTCTGCGAAGGTTCGGAGCATTTGTTTCAATGTACCGTTGAAACGTTCGCAGAGCCCATTCGTCTGGGGGTGGTAAGGGGAACTAATGACCGGCTTAATGTCACAAAACTTCCAGAGGCGCTGCGTGACTTCGGCGGTGAACTGGGTGCCCTGATCGGAGACAATCTCCCTGGGGAGTCCCACCCGGGAGAATATCTTCATCAGGGCTTCCGCTACTGTCTCAGCCTGTATATTCGTCAGGCCCACCGCCTCTGGATATCTAGTGGCATAATCTACTACGGTCAGGATAAATCTTTTACCTGACGGGCTTGCTTTGTTGAGGGGTCCTATTAGGTCAACTGCTACCCTGCTAAAGGGTTCCTCGATTATGGGGAGGGGATGTAACTTGGCCTTGCGCCGGTCCCCCCTTTTCCCCACCCTTTGACAGGTATCGCACGTGTTGCAATACCTGCGCACCTCCTGGCTAATTCCCGGCCAAAAGAAACTTTGGGTTAACCTGTATCGGGTCCTGCTGACCCCTAAATGTCCAGATAGCGGAATGTCATGAGCTATCCGTAGTAACTCCGCCTGGTACCGCTGAGGTACCACTAACTGCCTCATCACAATCGGGTCTGACCCGGATACTTGCTTATCCGTCTCCCGATATAACAGCTGGTTGTCCCAAATAAACCTCTCGCCCTCCCCCCCAGGCGTGTCTGCTGTCACCTTGTCCCTATACACCTGCAAGGTGGGGTCAGTCACTACCTCAGCTGCAAATTCGTTAGGAGGGGCCCAGGGAACACAGTCAAGGGAAGGGGAAGGATCTCTTACCTGAACCTCCGGGAGTGTGTTGTAGTCCTGGGTGCGGGCCTGTTGTCGAGTGACCACAGGGTGAGCTTCTCCTGTGGTGGGTGTCTGGGGCTCAAAAGCAGATGTGAGCCTCCCCAGATCGTTCCCCAATAAAACCTCCGCCGGTAACTGCGGCATCAACCCCACCTCCACATGCCCTGCCCCCGCTCCCCAATGCAAATGTACCCTTGCTGTGGGTAGCCGGTATACTGCTCCCCCGGCTACCCTGACGGCCACAGTCTTACTAAGTTTAGCTTGGTCTGAGACCAGGTGACTTTTACCAGGGTGATGGTGGCTCCTGAGTCACGTAGCCCCTGAACCGCTTTACCCTCCAGATACACGGTCTGCCTGTGATGCTGGCGGTTGTCTGCGTTAGCCTGGACGGGATCTGCCTCGTGCAGTACCTCCCACTGCTCTACGGTTGTGATGGGAACTGCTGAACCATACGGTGTGGCCACGATGTCCTGGTAGTGATGGGCTGCGGCGGCTCTCGGTGGTGGTGGTGGACCGGGTCGGATCCAGGTGGAACGGTCCCGCAACTGGGGGCATTCCCTTTTATAATGTCCCCACTTCTGGCAGTGGTGGCAAGGGCCCGACGTGGGCTGGCGGAAACGTGGCTGTGCAGCGGGTGGTGGTGGTGGTGGTAGTGACCTTGGTAGAGCTGGCGTGTAGTTGGTTCCCCCAAAGGTTTTAAAAGGTACTTTTGGAGCTGCAGGTTTTTGCTGCCTGCGTGCATCCAGGTACTCGTCTGCCTTCCTGGCTGCTTCGGTAAGGGAGGTAGGGTTTCTGTCTCTTACCCACTCCTGTACCTCGCTGGTTACTCCTTCATAAAATTGCTCCAGCAGTACCATTTGCAATACATCCTCCATAGACCGTGCCTTGCTCGCTTGCACCCACCCCAAGACTGCTCGTTGTAGTCTGCATGCCCACTCAGCATGTGAGTCTTTCTCCACCTTCTTTAAATCCCTGAATCTCCGCCGGTATGCTTCTGGTGTTATAGCATACCTGGCCAATATAATTTCTTTCACTTTGTGGTAATTCCGTATTTCATCATTTGGTACAGTCCGGTATGCCTCAGCTGCCCTCCCAGTTAACCTCCCTGCCAAAATAGGTACCCAGTCCTCTGCGCTGATTCTATGTAGTGCACACAGTCTCTCGAAATCTTGCAGGAAAGCGTCTATATCTTCCTCTGCCTCCACATATGTTTTAAAAGCCTGGTATGGTATTTTCGGCTTACCTTCTTGTGGCATATTTACTGCAGAGCTGCGTTCTGGGGCCGCTGTTTGACTCCTCAGTATAAATTCCTGGACCTCCGTTATCGTTTTGGAAATAATCTCTGTTGGAGGGTGTTCCCCATAGAAAGACAGCCGAAATTGTACCTGCCTCTGGAACTCCCTTTGTTCCGGTGTTTCTCCCGAATTCCCCTGTTCGGGAACCGAATCGCCTTCCATTCGGTACTCCGCCATCAGTTCAGTGATAAGTGCCGCTTTTGTCTTATTGCTGGCTTGGATACCCCTTGCCTCCAGAAGGTCTTTTAGCGTGGAGCGTTTTAGTGTGGCAAAATCAATCTCCATCCGTACTCCATTTAGGCTTGTTCCTCTGTGAGTCTGGATCCCAGCGCTGCCAACCAATGTAGCGGAGATGCAATATTACCCAGGTTATCTCCGCTTATAATCCAAGTGAGACTCAGGAACAAGTAAATAATAAATCCAAAGGCAGGGTTTCCAGCAGGTAAAATACAGCAATATCCCAACAGCAATCCCAATAACTGGACGACACACAGTTTCAGGAGCATAACTGACTAGCCTTTAATCGCAGTCTCCTTATAAAGCATGCTCCCATGCAAGGGAGGAACTTACAGTAATTATTACAGTAGCCAATCCTGTCCTGGTAACCTCCCACACATCCCCTCCCCTCAGCCAGCATCATAATCCCCTTATCCAGCACACCAATTCCCCCCGTTTCTGGATGTACCCCTAAACGTAGGGGTACCCCTTTAAATCCTACATCCCCTGATAGCCCTGATCTGGGTGAACAACATATCCAAAAATCACCCAGATCAGACCAGGGGTTCGGGAAAAGTATGGAGGGAATAAAATGACCGACCGCACGAACAGAGATAGCCGAATTCGGTTCCATGTGAATGGGCCTTGCGGTCGGTCCTGGCATAAGGGAATAAAATACACGAAAGCCTCTAGCTATAGAGGCTAGGAAGGGTTCGCCTGAATCCCCTCGTTCGGTATTTTCTATCTACCGAACGAGGGGCCGTTCGGTAGTTTGGAACCGAACGGACCAGGGCTGTGGAGGTCTCAGCGGTGTTCGCCTACTCGAGTGTCCGATTTTAGTTCCAGACACTCGACGGCAAAACACCGCTGTTCGGGAGTTTTAAAATGGCCGCCGCCACGTGTTCGTTTGTCGAATGGCGGCCACCCCCGAGAACAAAGGACGGCTACTTACTGTTCAATTACCCGTTCGCAACAATGTTGCAACGGGTAATTGAGGACACACTTCACACAGGGAGGTCTGGTTGTTCGGTAGTTTCATTCGAATAAACTAAGGGAATGAAACTACCGAACAATCAGAGGAAT